CTTTGGATTAGGGTTATAATTCTAATATGAAATAAGAGAAATTGAAACATGCAACATTCAGCTACAAAAAACATGTTTAGAAATAACAGCTTTCGCCGCATGTGATCCAATTGTGAATGAAATGTGAAGAAAACAAAGAGTTATGCTCAAAGTCCAAGTAAACAAAACAAATTTAAAACAGAGAAAAAACGATTCAAAAGTCTTGAAGGGACTTCCCCCTATAATTGTGGTCATAGTCTCAACTGACTTGATGGTAATAAGATTTAAAGTTTTCTTGGTTTTTAAAAATAATGATTTAGATGTTTCATAGAGATATGGTGTACTACTGATTCTAAAAGTATTACAGATCATAACTCAGTTTCTGCGGATATCAAAAAGGAAAATTATGGTACATAATTAATTGATTGAAATGAAACTTTTCTTTTATTAAATACTTTTTAAGTGATGAATATATATATATATATATATATATATATATATATATATATATATATATATATATATATATATATATATATATATATACGCAAGAGACAAGGGACAAAATGTAACAGGAAAACATCTTTTTATATCAAATAAGATGAAGAAAAGAAATGATGAAGAAATGAACATAACAAGCCTATCCTATTTTATCGATTGGAAATATTTTATTAAGTTTAGAAAAAATCCATTCATTTCAAACAGAGCACACTTTGTACACCTGAACAGGTGTTCAATAGCAGTATATTTTTTACGCAAATTTACAGGTTTTTTCTGCGGGACTGACATATTTCGATAAAGTGGGTGAGTGATAAACTGAGTGAAATATTACGCAATTCATTCAAAGATTATATTGTTTTTTTTATTCAAAAGGCTCTAGCGACTTATATATTGTACAACATACTGACGATACATATGTATATGAAATCAAGATTTCCCTCCACGTGCCATTTTCAGTTAAAATTTAATTCATATTCGTTATAATCTGTCGGTTTCCCATAGGTATAAATTGCGCCCCATTATAAGCAGACCCATTTTTGTATTCATATGAAGCAGAATTTATTCAAAATCTTATACATGATAAGAAGAAAACACTTGCCATGGCTTTAAACTCGACAATTAGATACATCGAGGACGTATTATCAATTAACAATAGTTACTTCCATCCATATGTCGACTCGATATATCCCAGTGTATATTGTATATTTCACTAGAAAAAGACGTTAATGGTAACCTAACAAGCAAGTTTTATGATAAACTTGATGACGTCAACTTGACAATTTTGCAATTCTGAACTTCCCTTACTTAAGTAGCAATATCACCTGCATATGGGATTTATGTCTCTCAGTTGATTCGATACACAAGAGAATGTTCTACGTACGAACAATTTCTAAAACGGGGCAAGCTATTGACAAACAAGTTGACGAAACAAGAATCATTTAAAGAGTGTCATTTAAACAGTCTCATTCAAAGTCATCATTTTGCAAGTTCTATGGTCGATACAATTACCTTCTTATCAAATACAATCTATCATTTAGTCAAATGCTGACTGACTTTTTTCATATTAATTGTAAGGCCATTATTTGCATATTGATTGTCTACGGATCTTTTCTTTTTTCCGATCATGACAATGAGCACACGGCGGGCGTGAGCGGTCGGCAGGGGATGTTCACTCCTCCATGGCACCTGATCCCACCTCTGATGCTTTAAAAGGTCCATGTTTGCTTTGCTCTTGCTTTGTATTGTTTGAATGGACTTTTGAGCTTGAATACAGTTCGTTATCTCCATATATTTCATGACAAAGTTGAATCCATATTGGTTTTTAGTATAACTCTCAAGAAAGAGATGGTGGGTGGACTGTTAGTCCCCGAGGGTCTCTACAGCCCAGTAACCTAGTACTTCGGTACTAGCTTAAAAATACGGATATATATTTAAATCCTGTGGTAATATTTAGAAATTATTTCAAAAATAAGGATTATCTCCCCCATGCATAGCTCTGATCCTTCAAGGTATTTAGTTTTTGGCATCTTTTTCAGCTCTTCCAAGTCTTTTTTATTCAAATATTTTGGATTTCCAACGTTTCGGCTTGAGCATCGCTGAAGAGACATAATTTGTCGAAATCCGCATCTGGTGCATCAAAATACAGGTCTAGTGGTCAAGCACGACGACTGTATACCTTGGATGTCTTTTTGAACATGGCTCGAATCCTGGAATGGCTGGTTTATATACATCATAATTATTCTCATAAAATAATAAAAATATAGTGATATATCATGCAATAAAAAAAGACAATTCCGGTATGAATATGGCGTGTAAAACGTTGGATTATTATACTCTTTTGTTATTCCTATTCAAAATTTTTTTATTCTTTTTTTAAAACGTATCATTTCTATTCGATAAATGTTATTCCTTTTCTTATGCGAAAAAGTGTTATTTCTATGCGATAATTTATCATTCCTATTCGATAAGTTGTTATTCCTATTCAAAAACACGTGATTCCTATTCGATGAATTGTTATTTCTATGCGAAAACACGTGATTTCTATTCTATAATTTTTTCATTCCTATTCGATAATTTTGTCATTCTTATTCAATAATTAAATGATTTATATTCGATAAACATGTTTTTCCTATTGAAAAACATTTTTATTCGAAAACATATTCCTTTTCGATAATTTATTCTTATTCGATAAATTGATCATTCTTATGTGACGTTTTTTTCTTATTCTAATTCAATAATTGCATTCTGGGTAATATGAACTGAAGATTATCAAATAGGAATCATATGTTTTCGAACAGGAATGTTATGCTTTCGAATTATTCGAATAGAATTTGAACAGAAATTACAAGTTTATTACATATAAATCACATGATTATCGAATAAGACTGACAAAATTATTGAATAGGAATGACAAAATTATCGAAGAGGAATCACGTTTTAGAATATAAATGATATATTATCGAATAGGAAACACATGTTTTCTTTTGAATATGAATGGTATATTTTGGGATAGGAATCATATTTCTTCTAATGCAGTGTATTTACCTTGACCTTGCTGTAGGGAGAGGGCTAAAATAGGGTATGCCTGCTGCCTAATCCCATTCACTTCATGTGAATAAAATTATGTATAAATAAAAAAAATATTTCTTCTAATAGGATAACAATTTATCGAAATGACAAGTCATCGAATAGGAATCACTCTGTTTTTAATAGAAATAAAACTTATCGACTAGGAATCACATTTTATCGAATAGGAATGATATGTTTTATAATGAGATTAATACATCCTTTGATTAAGAATAACAAAAAGTATACTAATGCAACGTTTACACACCATATATGAAGTTCTTAAAAACAATGTTTTAATTTATATAACTTGTTACTGTGATCTCAAACTAATAAACGTAAGGATTTTATATAATTACAGGACGGAGTAATGAAAAATGAAGAATAGATTTAAATAATTGATGATGACACGTTTTGTTATAATCGTTATGAAGTGGCCCAGATCTGACTTGAAACAGTATTTACTATCATTCCAATAACAGCGTGTTAGTTTGCTTGATCGACCATTGTAAAATTTCAGAAAGTGATTACCATATTACTCATCGATTGGATGCTTCAATTCAATGAAATCAACACTATTTTGCATATGAAACGCGGAATTCAGCAATACTGTTGATAATACTGACCAATCATTGAATTATTGTTTAGTTGTAGTAATCAGCAACACGTAGTCAATCATAAGGCAATTTTCTGTCCCCCAAAAACACGTGTCATATTTGATAGTAAATTCACAGGAGAAGTTAATACAAATATAAGAAAATTTGAAACATGAAATTAGTAAGACTACTTTGCTACAATTATAGCTACGCAGGTTTGCAAGGAGAATCTTAAAAAAAAAAAACACTCGAGTTCTTGTTCCACATCTCCCGTTAAAAACACCAGTGATTTGTATTAAGCAACTTTATTTTCCATCACTATATCTTTAGACTGTATTTTCCTTGTATATTTAAGGTTAAATAACAAAAAGTATCTAAAAACTAATTATATATTGATTGCTATCGCAACATGACACTATGATTATAGGAAGTAAAGCTTTGCTGTCCACGTGTAATTTTTGTTTACGTTAACAATTTTTCAGCACGATTGGTCAGTATTGTCAGTGGTATTGCTGGGTTCTGTGTTTCATACGCGAAGTAGCATTGATTTCAGTGAAATCAAACATCCAATCGATGAGTAATATGGTAATCAATTTATGAAGTTTTACCACGCTTGTTCAAGCGAAATGACACGCCGTTATTGCAGTCCTTCTTGATATTGGGAATAATTACGAGTTTCTGCAACACTCTCCTTTTTCAGTTTCGAGCAATGTTGTCACCTTAGGGCAATGGTTAACGATAATCGGTCCTCTACTTTCTGGTTAGCGAATATCTTTAATCGAACAAATACCCTGAATAATTATTTTGTTTTTTACATTGTGTTGCTAATATCTAGATCTTGCTACCACGACGATTCATTTCTGATAGGATTATAATTGATATTCTCATTGTCACTTCTTTTTATTAGTTTAACTACTGCTAAATATTGACTATGTTAAAAGATTTAGCCAGAAAAAAAACTTTAAAATGTATCCATTCACTTGATTTGTACAATTTTTTTTAAATCACTCAGAAGTAATTTTGTCAACAAAGCTTTAATGCATAAAAGTTCATTTTTGGCAATATTTTAAGTACAGTAAACCACATGGACAGTAAAGAATGGATAAGAAAACATGTTATTTCACACAGTCTTAGCATTGTAATAAATAGTAAAAAATTAAATAATTTATGAGACAAACATAAAACAATAAATTAAAGGATATATACACGCAAAACAAAGCACCAAATGTTTGGCCAGAAGAATGCAACAATATATACTTGTATAGACTTTAACAATTAAATGGACAGTTCCAAGATTTTTTCCACCACACCATTACCTCATCAATGTACCGGTAAACGTAATTTTTTGGGATTTTCCGTTCAATCAGGCGATACGGCGGTGAATTTTTTTCTTAGCAGAATGCCACCAGTAAACAAAGCCGCCACTGATACCGCTGTTGCTGTTGTTGCTATGACGATTTTCCACGTGGTGCTTAGGCCTGTCTCGCTTTCATTGGAAGACTGAGGTTTCTTAAAAGATAAAGAAAAACCATCATTGCAGTTTTAAAAATTGATTAAATTGTCAGGTATACTCAAAATCTGACGTTTAATCAAGAATCTAAAAAAAAAAACAAGATTTGAATAGTAAAAAGTTAAGCATTTCTTCTTGAATGGTAAAAGATTATTTTTCCTGATACCCACATCTTCAATCATCTCGTTTTCTTCATTTTTATGAACGAAGCATTTATCATTTTTTTGCATTTGTTTTACACGTTTAAAATTCAATACCGATGTGGTAGTAGAAGTAGTAGTTGACTTCCCGGTAGTGTGTGATACACTCGTATTGGGTTGAGAACTTGCAGTGTTAGAAGCAGAACCGCTTGTCTGGCCATTTCTTGTGGTTGATTTAGTGGTTAATGAATCCGTTGTTAAGGAATCAGTTGTCATGGAGATAGATGTGGCATCAGTTGTTGTGGTTGGTGGTGGTGTCGTTGTACAAGTCCCAGGGGTCCACGACGGGTTAATTGGAACATTGCATTTACTTGTTGATTTCCAGTCCGCAAGTGTGATGTCTTCAGATACTCGACAACAATCAGCCCTGAAATGAAGAATTGAAATGCAAATTCCAAATACTATTTACTTCTACACACATTAATGTTCTTTGATAAGAAATGGTGAGTGCATGTGAATCATTAACAAATATATACTAGTATCTTCACGAGAGGTAAGTAAACATTATATAAATTTTGCATAAAAATGAGGGTGATTAAAAATTCACCCCCCCCCCCCCCCAAGAAAACCATTGTCAACCGGGACGCAACCGAGATTGACAATGGTTTTCTTGGGGGGAAATTCTCAACGTCACCCTCATTACATGCAATATTTAATATACTATACTATACTGATCGTTTTAAATAAGTACAACAGTGAAGTCAGATCCGTTTGTGCAGTCAATAGTTTTCGAAATATCATTAGTTGTCAAGCACAGTGGACTGTTGCTTCGTTCTATCACGCTGGAGGGCGTGGTTTCATCATTCAGAGAGTGATAGCCTTTTTTAACAAATGTGCCCCGGCGAATCAGTTTCAAATTATTCTTATGCAAGCATAATATTCTATATTACTGTTCTCTGATATAGATATATAACTATCTTCTGAGTCCTTATTTTTTTGTAATTTTCCTAGCCCCTTTATTTATGAAACTAAATGGACTTTTTCCCTAATTAAAAAAATATACTCCCATTGGTCACTTACACTAATTTTGCTTTTACGGTTCCTTGACTTAGAACAAGTCCTGCAATGAATGGATCGTACGAGAAGTTAACCGCCGTTCCCCCTGCTCCTCCATAAGATATCGTTTTAATGCCCTCACCAACATCAAAGATTTCCAACTCAGTTGTTATCAACGTCATGTTGCAATCGCACTGGGTAACAGAACTGCAACTTCCGGATACTTTGGTGATGTTGCAATCGGGGGGTGTGGTGTCAGGAGTCTAAGTTATGCCAAATCAAAACAACATATATATATATATATATATATATATATATATATATATATATATATATATATATATATATATATATATATATATATTAGGGATGGCAACGAATATTCGAACATTCGAATATTCATTCGATGAGTTGATATTCGAATATGAATATAAGATTCGAATATTCGGTGTTTTTCAGATTTCACAAAAAGAAGTACTGTGATTAATAAATTTTGATTAGAACAGTGCTGAAGTTATCCCTGTTTAATTTACTAGCGATCAATTTAATTCACTACTTTCTTATCTAATAAATCTACTAAATTACATGTATTTTGTTTTGAGTAAGGTGTTAAAGAATTGTACAAAAATGTTTTATGTATAATACAAAACGTACTTTCATAGTTTTTATTAGATACGATCGGATCTAGAATCGAGGACAACAAAATGAAATCTTAGAATGTCTAAAAGGCTTGAAGAGTATACTTATCAAAATAAAATTAATTGATCATTGAATGAATGTCCGATAGAATTAATCTGTAATTAATATTGTAAAAGGCTTAATTTCAGAATAAATGTGTAAATTACTTGATTATCTCGGGTTGTACATAATCCTGAATTTTATATTCATTATCGGGAAATTAGTTAATTACCTAGGAAAATTGTCTATGGAAATACTGCTTTACATTGTATCAAAGATTATAATCATATCTCTTTTCAGGCAGATAATTGTAATTTATTACACGTATTGAAATCTGAATAGTATACCATTACGACTATCTTGCCTTTTGTAAGACGACTGGTTCCTCAGTTGGAGCTACTATAAATACACACGTTTCATTTGTTAAAATTATACTTTTCTACATTTAAATCAATTATTTATTTCAAACATTGACAAATATCAAATGGAATTTCTTATTGTACACCTACAAAAGTCTTCATACAATTTTACTTCCAATATAAGTATACCTACGTTAAACCTTTCATGAGAGTCGGATGATGCATATTTAAAATAAAACAGATTCATTTATTTTATCGAATATTCGAATATATTCGAATACTTTCATTGAATATTCGAATATGAATTATTGACAAAATTGACATCCCTAATATATATATATATATATATATATATATATATATATATATATATATATATATATATATATATATATATATATATATATATATATATATATATGACCAAATTTATCATAGTAAAGAACAAAAATAAATCGTATGGACTGGTGGACTAGTCTACCTTATTACTGGGATCTTCTGTTGTTAGGGAAAATGTGGAATATTGAAAATTAGAATTCCCTGATGTTATTGGCTCTGCTGTTACAGTAACAAATCTAAAAAAAAAAACAAACAATAATAAGACATCAAATGATTTCATCTATTAATAAGATAATTGATTACAAATATTGATCATTAACTTCTGTGACATTACGTTGTGATTCCAGGTGTAGATCCTCCATGCAAGACAAACATGTCTGTGACATTTGCACCTGCTGCTAGTTGATGCGTCCTGTTGAAGGGACTTACACCAAATTGTTGACTATCTTTAATGGTGGCTACTATTTCCGCAATGCCTGCTCCTTGGTTAGTTATTGTGTACTGGATTATAAAGTTTCGTCCTGTGTATAAGGGGTCTGGAAAGATGATGACTCTGAACATCAGAGATTTAAACAAAAAATTCGTACCAGTCCCCATAACGTTTATTAAAAATATATTAAAAAATAACTAGGGTTTTAAAATGCATGTATTTTTTAACAGTTTGTTTGCTTAGTACTATTAATGTCATTATATCTCTACGAATTTTGACATACTTGGAAAAGGAAGAATCTCTAGTTTGACAAGCACAGGGGAGATAAGTTTAGTGTGAAGTCTTCTGAAGTGTGTGGCAAGCCCATCCTCTCCACTGATAGCTATTTGAAAGTCCTAAAAAGTCATATACACTTCTATTCTTAATATGTATTGTCAACTCTTTCAGTATCTAATTACTGATTGACAAGGATACAGTATCTGTATGTATTCTGTATTAATTACTTATTTTCTATAATTTCCTATCATCAAAATGATGAAGGTATAACATTCAATGAGGGAATTACGAAAGACAAGAATGAGACATTAACGTGGAACCTACCAGTGATGGGACAATGACGTTGCAGTGATACACCCCAATCTTGCGTCCGGGGTACGGTTGTAGTTTACTATTCGTCAAAGTTGTTCCCTTCTCATCCAGAAGAACTAAGTCTGAAACACCCGTGACGTTATCTGGTAAAGTTACCGTGACTAGAACAGTTACGTTGTCACCTGAAAATTAAAAGTAGGCTCATCAAACTGTAGTAATGGTAATGGTAGTAATGGTAAAAAATGAGATCCTTTCTAATTCAGAGCATATTAAGATTATGTGCATTGGGATTTGATACCGCATTATTATATTATGCGCAAAAAGTGCCCGTCAAACTTAAAGCATTTGTAAATACATAAGAGCAAAATTCAATGCAATAGGTTTCTCTGATATTCGTGGTCTCCTCGTTTATTTTGAATGTTCACAAGTAACCCTTTGTGTACTTTTAACCTTGTCTCATATTTCGATGAAAACTGAGGGGATTATAAGAGGGTAGTATATTGAATAGTAGCCGCAGATCTTTAGTCGCTGGTCTGAAAAATTGGGATAGACGACTAGAGAGCTATTCATTGGAAAAAAGTGTATATTTCGCGCACAAAAATGTTTCTCGATTTATTTCTCCGTACATATAAGTTGTCATTTCAAGAAATTACTAACCGTGTGTTCCTAACATTTTTTTTTACAAATTCCGCAACAAAACATCCTCTACAACAGTTTTAAATAACCCTCTAAGCCTGAAATTATGACCGTCGAAAATTTCGCCTCTGTATACGGACATTTTGGGTGACAAAGTAATTTGTAGTCCAATCGTTTTATAAGTTGCCATTGAATTAGGCTTTTACCAGGATGATTTTTTTTCAAATACAAAAAAATTAAAATTCTTTTAGCCAAATATAATGTAAATTGTATAATATTCATAAAGTAAAATATTTTTCACCGCTAATATGAAAATCTGAACAAATATAGTGGCGTGTACAAGATTGGTGCAACAAAAGTTCAATCGGAAATGTCAAATACTTCATAAATCAGGTAGATATGAAGGATTTGTCATGCCACCCAGAATAACAGAGTAAATACGCGAAATTTTCGACGATTTCAATTTCAGACCCAGGAAGGCTATTTAAAACGATTGTGGGGTATATATTTTTTTTTTGAATTATTAAAAGAATAGGTAAGGAACACATGGTCAATAATATCTAGAAAGGAGAAGTAAATAGAGAAATATGCACACTTTTTGTGCGCAATAAATATACACTTTTTTAATGGGTGGCTCTGTATATCTTCGCATGGTCGGGCCAACTTAAAAATTATGTTTGCTCGCCCTCTTCTGACTCAGGATGAGAAAATTGAGTTGGTAGGTAGGTGAGAGAATTTTTTTCAAAGAAAATTTCAAAAACAATTCTGAATTTTAAAAATCTATTTTCCAGAATGCATAAAAATAATTGCTTCCTGGAGTTTAAAAAAAGTTATGAATCGGGCCATTTTTACCCAGTCGGTCGGGAGAGGGCAAACAAACAATTTTTTAAAGATGGCCTCGTCCATCCCTTTTTTTTTTTTTTTTTTTAGATCAGCGAGCTACAAATCTGTAGCTAGTATAACTGGTAAATGGTAAATTTTCTTCGATTTTATTTTGGGCAATAATGAGGAAAAACGTCTATTGTGCTGTTTCATTTCTAGAACTTTTGTAAAGACACCCACCCACTAATGGCCTTCCTTCTATCTCTGTCAGAGCGTAACTGTTGGCATCAGACTTCATGAGCTGGGCCGTGAAATCTAATTCACTAACCGCCTTTACTTCGACCTTCCAGAATATATAAATATTTTTTTCGAGAGAATAAAGACCTGGTTTAGGATTCTGAAAGAAGAAACAAATTATTCATAATAAGTATAATTAATTTAAAGCCTGTGAAACCGTAACGGTAGCTCCGTCGGTAGAGCGCTCACTCCGTGATCGGAAGGTCGTGTGTTCGAATCACGACCGCGACTGATCTAAGTCGATAAAATAGGTAGCAACTGTTCCTTCGCCAAGCGTTTGGCACTTTGAAGTGAAAGTTGCGGTCCTTCGAATGAGACCTTAAGTACCGAGGCAGGCGCTTGCATAATAAAGATCCCTCACAACTCAATGGCACTAGGTCTAAATTTGAAGCCCTTCACCGGTGTGTGGTGACGTCTCTATATGAGTGAAAAATTCTTCAACGGGGCGTAAAACAACATACAATCAATGAATCAATCAATAAAGCATGTGAAAAGCCAATCATTTTCTTTTTTAAAAGATTTATCCATGTCACTGAACATAATTAGTTACTGTGCTCACTTACAATGATTTCCTTTATGGTCGTGGTGCCAGTATCTGTTTCTGTGACATTCGTTTGTCCATTAGATCCAGCAATCAATAAATTACCTAAAATGACAAAAAACAAGTGTTAAAATGATTTAACATATCTGTAGAAAACCAAAAAAGTATATTACCGTTGTGCATTTACCTGATCTTTATTGTTTTTTTTAACAAAAACATGAATACATTTAGATGCGTACATTATGTCCGCCAACGAACGAAAAGTTTCTGATACTTTTTCAAACCAATGAAAGCAAAAATAAACCCAAATATCGATACCATATTGATCTTTTAATCTGGCTGAAGGTAAAGTTGTGATTCCATCGATCTGAATGATCAGCTTGGTGACAGTAACATCAGATGGAATGGTCAAGGTGCTAAAACCTTCCTGTCCACCCGGGAAATCCAACTTTAAAATTTTTACCTCAGGGTCAAGAGAAGATGCCTAAATAAAATGACAATATTAATTAATAGTATGAAAGTAAAAATGTGTCACACGTTTTTAGCACTCAAATTCAATATCTAAATCATGCATATTTTGAAAACAGTAAATTTAAATGAGTTTAAAGTGATAATTGTAATCATTCTAGTTTCATAGTTCATTTTGAATTCGCAATCACTCACAATATTTAATAGATTTAATGATGCTGATCCGGTGTAGATTTGTCCCCCAGAATTACTAGCAATCTGCCGGAAGCTTAAAGGAACTGTGAAAGCGCTTCGTCCTCGGCGAGTGTCTGTAATATTTATGATAACAAGATTATTACGATATTGCTCAAGCTCGATACTTTGCAAATTTTAATTCAATTACAGAGACTTATACTTAAATATATTTGGTACAGTGAATATTACATTAATGGCTTCCCTCTCTGTTTTTATATTAAATATATCTTCTTCTAACGATGTTCATAAAGCTTACATGTACAACTTCATCTGATTCTTACCTTTCCCATAGCGATTGTAAAGATTTTGTCTAAAGGACGTTATTCGACGGTGACATGACCCCATAAGGTAAAAATTTATGACTATCTTCTTGGCTTCAATTTCATTTTTATGAAAACTTTTCTTATCAGGAGAGGAATCAGTGAAAACGAACATCCTTGACGACCTTGGAGCAACATCTGAAACTAAAAGACGGAAAACAGGTAACTTTAAAGATGCAAACTACATTCTTTAAGCAAAGAAAGATAGACCTGATTCTGTATTTTTTTCTTTAAGGTTTTTAAGACGATACGTTCCTCAAATATCTGTTATGTATATCCTCGTAATATATGAAAAATATTCAAAATTTTAATTACATTCTGATTTCTAAACCAGTTTCTAATTGTCCTTAAAAAATCCAAACACTAAAAAATTTGATATTTGCAAATTAATTTTTTTCCAAATGCATTATATAAGAAAACTACCCTCTGGTATCTTGCACAAATGCCTGGTAAGGCACCTCAATTTTTTGTGAATAAACATGTCAAAGTAGCAATACTTCAATGACAAAATCTCAAAAAAAATGTATGTATTATTGAGGAACGTATCGTCTGTCCTTAACCTATCCTTCTTTATTGCCTGTTGTTTAGATTTTTTTCTTTTTTTATTTCCTTCTCTACTCTTTGTTGATATATATTTGAAATTACCTTTAACGTACCTTTCTGTATTGTGTGTAGTATCGGTTTATGACAGTTCTGCTGTGATTCATATGTAATATTATCTACTGCCTTCAGCACACCAAAAAGGTTGGCATAATTTTCCATTTGAATGCTGCTGACTACAATTTGAAACGGAATGGATCGTTATCCGAATGACTGAGAGTTCTAACTTCAGCGTAATGACATTAGATGCAATGTAATTTTGATAATAAATCTGAGGATAAGAAAACAAAAATGGCTACTATTTAGAGTATGTTATATTGTGCTGTGATTAGAAAGGAAGGCAATAATGCAGAATAAATAAGTACCGACTTTGCCAACAGTTACCAGCATAAAGTGATAACTGGTCCGAGATGACATCATATCTTGTACTGCAGCCTGAATGACTTTCTTAATGGATTCAACCTCTCTTTTCATATCAGGAGACGTGTCTATGACAAATATCAAAGTTTGTTCTTTGATTGTTTCTAGAAGATTTTTGAGTTTCCACAAGCCGATATGTTTTATTAAACCATTTTCTGAAAGAAAAGGCATTCTCTTTATACGTGTACTTTGTTTGAGGAGTGTCTTGATTTACATTGACATTGCACTGCATAATAAAATCATTTCTAATAATATTTAGAGAGACAAAGTTTAATGCTGCAGTTTTGTATTGCTGAAAAATACAAAAGGTATGGTCTACGATCTAATTTTCAGGCCAATGTTATATTTTTAAAATCTCGATAGACAAACCTTTATCATTGAAAAAGTATCTTGTGTGTTCTATTGCGGCTAAAGCTGCGTCTTTGTGAAGGCTGTAATGAGGGGAATATTGTGGATCTGTTGTCTCTTTATTTATCCCTCCTCTCACCGTATGGTCCGTAGATGAACTGTAAGGGCCGCCATGCGAACATTTCCCTGACTTTACCTCCATTTCCGTTACTACCAGGATATCATTTCAGTGAAATTATTATATTTTACAATGCTTTATAAATGTAGTTGATGTATTTTGAAAGAGTGATTTTCTTGAGAAAGTGTTCATAAATTTAGACATATAAATCAACATACTATCATGCACAAAGCGTGCATATCAGTAAACGAACATTCTAAGAATTTACAATTACATCTACGAAAGATCTCGAATATGACAGATTTTGTCACCCGAGTAATTAAACTTGATGGTCAGTGCTTTTTTAAATTTCTATTACAGTTTTAGCATTAAGACTTTTACGTCTAATCATAATGAAAAATGTGCATGTTTTCAATTTATTTTACATCACATATTTTTATAAGAATTTTGAAAAGAAAGATTTCTTTTAGAAACACGACTATGGTCCACGTATTGTACTTCTCTTTGTAAGAGAGCAACATGTTTTTTTTTTTTCATATCCGAAGGCGTTCTTCTCATACATTCTCTTATTTTTTTTTTTTACAGCTAGAGCTGTCAATGTCGCAAAACTGTAATTTGTATACATCGTAATTTTATTTAAACATTTCCCCCCCTTTTTTTTTAATGAAGTCTGGTGTTTTAGAAATTGTCTAAGTATCAGAATCACTAGCTATGTAGCTTTGAATAAGAAATACATTTAGAGTGTCAAGTACTCATTCCTATTGAAATATATGCAAAAATTACGGATCGTCTCTCATTGAGCAATTTTTTTTTAAATTGCTAGGTAAATAAATAACTACGGTGTATATTAATTACACATTTTTTGTCCTTTTGATGTAATATTAGAAATTGTCAGTAAAGTGGAGCAAAAAACAATGATTAATCAAATATTGAAGAGGTTGCTAAAACAAAACTGACTGTATTTTCAAGTTGCTATTAAAATTATCACCTGTCCCGCTAGAACTGTCGATTTCTGAGCGATAACCACTGGTGAGGACCATCCCGTTATCTATCAAATTGTCAGCACAGCCATCCAAGTCCTCCTGAGTACTGGGAGAAAGGGCAGAATTTGACGTCACATAATTTTAAGATAAATTGTGCGTCGGTGTGTAAACTAACAAATCAAATACTCTTAATTTGCGTCTACTTCAGTTTAAACTACAGACTGCTTGCTCTACCCTTACTTTTCCTCTTGTAGGATAAAGAGTGATTAAAAGGGTCCAAAATCAAATGGAACATGTCTTTATAGTAGTATAAACTTAAAGAGATATAGTTTTGAACATTTTGAGTGGTTGAGCACATCTCTTGTTGGAGCTAAATGTCCTTGTTGATCTACTACTCTTACCTACAACTTAAACACGTATTCATGTCGGTCGTGGCAACAGGAAGTAGCTGCTTTCCGGGTAATCCTTTAAAGAAATTTCCAAAGATTTATTGCTATTTGTTGATGCATACTTCTGGTGTATGGGGGAGGGGGATTATTTATTTTTTGTTAGAAAAAGAACTTTATTTAATTATCAATTGCACAAACTTCATATGACATTAACATTTTTGCTTATATCTTTAGGATAATTAAAAAGGTATCACATGGAACATTCATAAATGTACACTTGGTAAAAGTTAAATACTTTTGTTATTCAGTCTTTCGTGCAGTGAAAGTGCAGATTACAGAAAACTTTCATATATTTTAACCATTCAGGGGATAGTTTACATCCTATCAATGAAGGGAAATTGAGGCACCTTAAGTACACGGAGGATTTGCTGACTTAATCCTGATATATTTGATACTTACCTAAATCTGTGTAAATAGTCTGTCCATTGAGCTCTATCCAGTTCGTGTTACTGTAGAAGCTCTGCAGAAGGTGCAGGCAATAGCTGACATATTTCCTCGCCGCCGTGTAGTCCGGGACAGACAATCCTAGTAAATCCAAGACCAATTGTCGATAGCGTTTCAGCTTATGGTTGGCTTGAAAGTAGCAACATAATCCATTAAAAGATATTTTGCTCATTTAATTGTTTCTCTGAATTTTAATTTGTGGTTTTCTACGGAAAAGTACATTTTATAGCCTCTGAGAGTCACCAGTGGTCTCTCACTGGATACTTCATATTTGACTTTAAAAAATATTTTGCTTCTAAAATTTTTATATGCATGTATGAATACATTTTTAAAAATAGGTCTTTGGCTATTTTTGTAGTGATTTGACAGAATTATTGAGAGTATCTATCTGTTTATGTCTTTTGCGGTTTTTAATTTTTGGTATTACTTTGTTTGCTTGAATGTAATTTTGTATTGTATTTTATATTGCTTCCTACTGTTTTAGAAACATTTTTTAATGCTAGTTATAACAAAATCAGGAAAAGAACAAAATTTAATATATTTAAAATAAATCTGATTTATATTCAATAATGCGTTAATATATTATCTAACTTTCTGTTGCGTGTTGCGTATGTTTTTTTTTTCTTTCTTAAAATATACCAAACTATTTAAAAAAAACATTGTTTATTGATTGAAAAAGTTCCACACCTGTCTTCATAAATGGATAGCGAGGTGCGTTTTCATTTGAAAATTAATCAATTTTAATTTGAATATTGAGAAAAGTTTTAATGCACAATGGAAAGGCATCAGTGGTTACTAAAACAGTGGACCTTATTTCTTTAATTTTGCATTTCAGCATAAACTGATCATATGTGAAAATATGTCAGGTTAATTTGCTACAAGAATATTTATATCTGAAAAAAAAATGGTGCATTGTGCATTTAACCATATTTTCTTACATAAAAGAATATAAGGCATAATACATAAAGAAGACTAATTAATGTTATTAAAAAAACTATTTATGTATTTAAACAGATATGTAAACATCTGTATTACATGTATTTATACAGAGTACACGCCAATATTTTTCATAACAATTAACCTTATATATTCTATTTTTTTGTAAAATATAACCCTCAGATACAATATAAAGTGATCTTACCTTCAATTATGTTTTCATTGCTAAAATGCCATTCTGGTTTACTAAGGTGTTTCCTATGTATATCATTTATAAAATTCACAATTTCACGTACTGTATGTTGTGGCAAGGGCCCTAAAATACACATATATTCAGTATTAAAATATTTGAATCAGAATTAAAGCAATGACTTATTTTGACTTAAAGATAAAGTTCAATTACAGAGTATAAGGTATGAATTCACTTTTTCAGAGTTAACATTGCTCTTGTATTTTTATTGGCTATAATTCCAATACACTATAACCAGATGCTATCTTTGTCGACAATCAATCAATCTCCTGATTTATGTAAGAGAAAAAGAAAACATTTAATTCCTTTGATATTTAGCAAACTTGAAATGACCAAAGGGTCCATTTATATATATACTATTTGAATATACACTATAATATGTCAAATTGACACTATAATATGGTGAATTGACACTATGATATGGTGAATTGACACTATAATATGGTGAATTGACACTATAATATGGTGAATAAACACTATGTTATGGTGAATTGACACTATAATATGGTGAATTGACACTATAATATGGTGAATTGACACTATAATATGGTGAATAAACACTATGATATGGTGAATTGACACTATAATATGGTGAATTGACACTATAATATGGTGAATAAACACTATGATATGGTGAACATACAATATAATCAATAAACACTGCAAATCCTGAAGAAACACTACAATCTATGGTGAATAAACAACATCAGGGGAAATGTAGATAATTGATTTTGTAAGGAGTGACACGTTAATTATTATTTCATTTTACACTTTTTAAACCGCTGCACAAATTCTTAACAGTATTTTTGCATATTTAATCACAATTAAAAGAAACATTCTAATCTCTTACCCTGATCCTTTGTCATTTGGTAAATTTCAAAATATATTAATTATTTTCTTTTAAAAATATTTTTGAATATGAGATTTACTTTAAATTAGTGCATATCATTCAGTTAGTAAAAGTCAAGAAAAATAAGAACAATCATTTACAGATACATTGTATTGTACATGGCCGTAGGAACCGGGGGGGGGGCGTGCCCCCCCCCCCCCAATAATTTTGCCGATATATAGAATACTATAGAAAACATAGCTACTACATGCTTGTGCCCCCTCAATAATAACGTCTGATGACCTTTTTTTTTTTTTTTTTTTTTTTTGCTTGTCAAGGAATTTTGGTAGTCGATAGTGCCCCCTCAACTGAAAATGTAAGGTTGTGCCCCCTCAAAGTGAAATTGCTTCCAACGGGCCTGTTGTATGGTTGAAAATGAAATGTTCCTCGACTTTCATGGATTTTATTCACTGTCAAGTTCGGCTTAAAAAGCTGTTAAAGTAAGATTTTATGCCCTTTTTGATTCGATCAAGGTTTTTTTTCCCCTAATATGAACAGGAAATAGCTATAGATGTGTTATAAAGGACACTTTTAAGGGAAAGCTAATCGTGAAAAACGTTGATTCATTCACTTCGAATAGGGATTTCCGGAAAAGGTGCTAAATTCATCGAGTGGGTATTTTTTCAAAAACCACAAGTACATTTAAATCTCACTTGGTGACAGAATATATGTATTTGATGATAATAAATTTGATTTTCTCTCCTTAGTTATCCCTTTTTTAATTCATGAACTGTTATGAAATATTCTAGTCCCATTCTTTGCTATTTACTTTATTGAAAACGAACGTCAATTCAGAAAACAGTTTTAGAAAAAATTTTGGTCCATATACCAAAATATGTCTACGGATGAGCATTTTGTAGATTTTCTTCTAATACTATGGTAAATAAGATACAATTAGTTAGAACTGTTCAAACATCTATCTACTTGTAGATATAATGCTTAGAAATTAGGTAATACTTTAATCGAGAGGGGAAAGAGTGTAAAAGGATTTTTGACTTCATGGGGAATCAATTTAAACTCAACAGCAATGGCATTTATAAAAATATTGTCATTTTTTCAAAGGACGCTATTTTCGTGTAACTTTAAGATTTCGTTATCAAAATGGACAATATAGAAACCAAAACTACACAGATACGAACCCAAAGCAATTTAGTACACAAGAGACGTTTTATCTTAAATATTTTCCCTAAATTATTTGCCTCCCTTGTACGAAGGGTTATGTTTGCCGCCTTGTTTGTCTGGTCCATGTACATTTTATTGAATCTATTTGACATTGTTTTTATTTCCAATCTACAAGGTACTTCAGTTGTCTTTGCCGATAGTGAAACACGGCAAGGCTTAACAGTGAATAAAATCCAGTTCCCTTTTAAAGAATGAATCACGCACTTAATGTTCTATACAACATGCAATTACATGTCTATATGCGTAAATAAAAGTTTAGAGTCGTTTTACGATATTTACGAATATCTTAGAAATATTGCTTTTCCAGTATTGTAATGTTTATGTGCAGCAACATCATTTAAATAGAACCCCCCCCCCCCACCATTTCTATTCACATGCTTAATGGTAACTATGCTTAGAGTGTTTATATCATTTCCACTCACTTAAATCTCGGCAGATTTAAAAAAAAATGTTTAAATCTCCCCTTTTCATTCAGATCCCTGAGTCTGAGACTATAGACAAGGATGTTTTTTTAAATATTGCTGTGAATTTAATCCAGTTTTATCTAATTTGTAGTTGACTTTTGTACAGTCGAGATTTGCAATATTGCTTCACGTCACTTGAAGAGGGTTTTATTGGTTATTATGATCTTTTCGTGCATCAGAGTTTGTCTTACATTGATGTTTAGGACGTTCATCGGATTATAAATATCTCTAATGTGTATATATTGCTTAACCTTGGGAAACGGTGACGAAAGAATTCCTTTGTTTGGAAAAGAAATATATGGTGGTAGAAATATTTATTTCCTTAAACGTATAAAGGTGAAAGAGCAAGCTTTGTTTAACAAACAGTAACATATATAAAATAATGCAATTATCAATGCCCATTAAAAATTTCTTTTATTCGTTAAGACAGCACACTTGTAGAAATATATATATATATATATATATATATATATATATATATATATATATATATATATATATATATATATATATAAACCCATCATATACTGACGCTATAGCTTTTATGATCGTTTTTGCTTACATAATTACGTCATACATTACTGTGAAGTCTTTTAGCCTCGGTGACTCTATGTCCATTCAGCGTTAATTGCCACATCAATTCGAAAACCGATAACGTCCATGTTTGGATTTTATACAGAAGAATATAACAAAACAGAGAAAGTCTCAACCATTTAAGGATGTTTCTGTATCATTGTTTGCTTGAAATATTAAATACAATCCTATATACTTAAATACACTTAACATTAATATTCATTCCATCTAATCTTCGATCCAAAATAGTTAATAATCATATTCCATATTTCCAATGAGCAAAACAAAACAAAACAAATCACTTTTGATCAACCCTAACCCATTTCCAGAGGTCCGGTAATCCTAATGTTCTTGATACTTTTCAAATAATCATGTAATTGCCCAGATCTTAATATATTAACTTCTAACTGTGCATGTATAAATAAAGAGACAAATAGCTCTATCTGGGCAATTTCAGATTAACAGAAAAAGACGAAAATTCCGAGGCATATTTTGCTGATCTCTATATTCCTTGTTTATAATCTGAATTTTGCATTGGATTTTTTTTTATCGTTACCTCAAACACCGTGGCAAACAATCGAAACAAATTTCAAAACAATGAAGTTCAGGATGTCAGACAAGAAATATTTTAAGAAGTCGAAAATCTGTTTTTCTAATTTGAAAGCCATATTTTACCTCGACTATTTTGTCTAGAAAAGCCGCTGAAGGATTGATTCCATAATTCTTGAAAAACCTGTAACACCCCTTGCTCTGTAATGGTTTCGTGTGTATAGTCCTCATTTGACAAAAATGGCACAAGAACGTTTGGATAAAAAGCCTTCACACCCATAAGCAGGGACACCATTATCCAAGACAATACTGTATGGAATCTCATTTTGGTAACTGATATATACCTAATTGTACGAAAGTCGAAAAACCAACTTCTTTAATCCAGAATAGGAGAAAAAATGTAAAACTTCGAAAGAAATTTTCCTTTTATGATAAAATTCACAGGTATTTCTTATGCTGCTGTAAAAAAAATATTATGTAATCATTTACAATCCGTCAGTCAAAATTAGCCTTTTTGACATCTTAGGCTCTTTCGTGTTATCTCTTCTTGGTTTCAAATGTATTGCAGAATTGTTGATTCTTCCGAAAACTGCAAAAACTAGTGGATCACTTTCTAATGGCCCGCCCATATCTACATCACGTGATGATAGGTAATGGATTTCTCTAGTCTTGAATGGAAATATATTATTAAAACAAACACAAAAGTGGTCGTTATCAAATTATCATCATCTATCATTTTCTCAGCAGAGACACGTACACCAGTTTCAGGTTAAAGATAAAAATATTTTGACAAATAACGAGAAATATTTGTGAAAAGTAAATTCTCTTGTCAAACAAATAGAGGAATGTTGTTAAAACAAAAGGACCAAACTTGTGATGTTTGTTATTCAAATTTATTTCCAAAGAACTGGTGTGATCAAAATTAAATTAGGTATTTATCTGTTCAATTTGTCTTGTTAAGATCGATTTGACACAAGGAAAGTCATGATCTAGTAGGGAAAATCTAGTGGAGGTAATTCTGAAGATATCGAAACTATTTTTTCCCTTTAAAAAAAAGTTTATCTTAAAATATCATATATATTTCCTAATCAACAAGGAAACAACTACCTTAAATTATTCTGGTGAGATACTTGTATTTAATGATGTTAACCATGTCTTTTGATATGTTAAGGTAGCTGCCTACTTCATATTTTCTAGGTAAAGGTAGTGTTTTCTTCTTTGGAATCATAAGAGTAACATCTTCGAAGATCATTAATTAAGCCCAAAAAATTCATCTCTTGATTGGTTACGTCTCTGACCAGAATCTCCGAAAGACATATATATTCTTCTTTTGCATACAATTTCAACCAAAATCAATAGTCGACGGTTCAAATATAAAAATACACCTTTCAGATATATGTATTTATCAGATATTATTTAAGATATTCATAAGTTAGGGTCACTTACATTTATCAATTGATAAAACTGAAAATCAGAGAGGAAAGCATACTAAATGGAGAATTTGAAATTTTACAAAAATAATTTAAAATTATTTAAAAATAATTTGAAATTAATAAACAAATAAGACATTCCTCGACACTTTGAAGTGAAAGTTGCGGGCGTTTTGGATGAGAACTTACAAATCGAGGACCCGTGTCACAGCAGGCGTGTCACTGCTCAGTGGCCCTAAATGCTGAGTAAAGGTCTGAATTTGAAGCCCTTCACCGGTATATGGTGACCTCTCTATATGAGTGAAAAATTCTCTAATGGGACGTAAAACACATACAATCAATTAATCAATCATAATTAAGTGGTTCAAAATACCTTATTTTATTCTTAAGAATATCATAATTATTTAAAGATCTATAAAAATTAGCTTTTCTTTTACAACTTCTAGAACATGTATATCCCCATATCGATCATTCATCCTCAGCTTGAAAAATTTGTCATTGAAACATATTTTGCCCGAAAATGCCTGAGTTACTTTATTAGATTTCTTTGAAAAACAAAAGAAATCGTTATCTTGAAGAGGAAAACTGTATCATAAAATGCACTTATATTGCATTACTGTATGAACATTACATGTATATGCTACAGTTTCATAGCTTTTTTTAAGAATGCCCGTGTTGCGCTGTGGTTAGCGTAATCCTGTCTCATCGCTGATAACCACAGTCGTTGTATGTAAGAAGGTAGGGTGGTCGCCAGCTCGGACACATGGGTTTTCTCCGGCTTCCTCCCAACATTCACGCAATAAAAGACTCCATTGGAAATAGGCTTTCGAGCTTTCATAGGGCTATCCTTATTATCACATATATGTACACGGCGGGTGTGATCGGTCGGCAGGGGATACTCACTCCTCCATGTCACTCGATCCCACCTCTAATGTATTAGATGTCCGTGTTTACTCTTCTCCTGATTTGTATTGTTTGAATGGACTATTGAACTTGAATACTGTTCGCTATTTCCATATTTCATGCATAACGAATAAATATTATTATTATTAAAATGTATATAAATAAAACATTTCGTAATTTATATGTAGTTGATTTCAAAAACAGTGAAATACAAACTGCGGTGCTTCTAATGTAACATCAAACAAAATGACAAACAAGTTGATGAAACAAGAATATCAGCAGTCTCGTTTAAAGTCATCATTTCGAAAGTTCTATGGTCGATACAATGACCTTGTCAGCAAATACAATCTTTCATTAAGTCAAATGCTGACTGACTTTTTACATACTAATTGTTATGTTATTATTTACGCACTAACGGATTTTTCCGTTATTTCCCGATCATGACAATGAGCACACGGCGGGTGTGACCGGTAGGCAGGGGATGCTCACTCCTCCATGGAACCTGATCCCACCTCTGATGTCTTAGAGCTCCGTCTTTGCTCTGCTCCTATTTTGTAAATTTTAATTGACTTTTGAGCTCGAATACTGTTCGTTATCTCCACATATTTCATATCATGAAAACAAGATCTACAATAATTCTTTTTTTCCTCAACAAAGGTCAAGTTGGAAATTTTCGTATCTTAATTGTGACTGGTCATCTACAACAATCACTCTAATTTTACACACAAGTAGCTGAAGGCGATTTTAAAAGGATGCTGGAGTTATTCATAGACAACATTTATGTAGTCTTCGGAGACCAGGTCTTCCAACATATTTCTAGAATTTCGATGGGCGCCAATTGTGCTCCTTTACTAGCCGACCTGTTTTTATATTCCTATGAAGCAGAATTTATTCAAAAACTTCGACATGAGAAGAAGAAAACACTTGCTGTGGCATTCATTTAGATACTATCGTCGACGTAATATGAATTAACAATAGTTATTTCCATTCATGTTTCAACTCGAATATCCCAGGAAACTTGAAACAAAAGACAACACAAATGTTTCATATTTGGATGTTTTACTGACTATAGACATTAAGGGCCAACTAACAACTAAATTGTATGACAAACGAGGTGACTTCAGCTTTTTCATCATCAACTTTCCTTATCTATATAGTAATATCCCGCTATGACCTGCATATGGTGTTTACATCTCACAAATTATTTGATACTTAAAAGCATGTTCTGAATACGACCAATTTTTAAACTTAGGCAGGCTACTGATTGATAAGTTGATGTTACAGGGATTTCCAAAACCTCGTTTAAAGTCAGCATTTCTTAAATTCTATGGTCGTTATAATGACCTTGTTAGCGAATATAAACTATCATTGGTTCGTAGTTTGACTGACGTCTTTCATATGTATTGTTAGGCCTTTGTTTTTTTTTTTTTTTACTGAATTTGAATATCTACCTGATCAATACATAGGGCTCAAAGTGGGTGAGACCGGTCAACAGGGGATATTTACTCCTCCCAGGCACCTGATCCCACTTCTGGAATTTCCAGGGGTCTGTGTTTTATGCCCTGTTCACAGATTTGTATTCCTTATATAGATTTTTATTCGATCGATCATTGTTTGATATCTTCACCTTTTCCATTATTTTCAACCCATTGTAAAAAAGCACTACAAATGATGGCGTCGCTCGAGTAGATATCTACCCTAACAAGGACATCTTTTATAAAACTTATGATTAATTTATTTTAATTGATAGTAGCAATACTTCCTCCTCGTATGATAAAGGTGTAGGTATTAGCAATGGAATCTGTAAACTGAGTTAATAAGAAGGGCTCTAAACATAAACCTTAGCGTTTTTTGTTTTTTGTTTTTTTGTTTTGTTTTTTTTTGTTTTTTTTGTTTTTTGCTACTTAGCGTTGGTTCGTATTTTGTCTGACATGTTTCATACCGTTTGTTAGGTCATTGCTTTAATACTAAATTTGACTAAGGAGTATTACGTTTACCTGATCAATACATAAGACTCATGGCGTGTGTGTGACCCGTCATCAGGAGATGCTAGACTCCATCCGCTCCCACCTCTGGTGTTTCCGGGGGTCCATGTTTTACTCTGTACACAATTCGTTTTGTTGACTGGATTTATGAAATTGATAACTGTTTGTTATCTTCATCTTTTACATTACACTCATTTGAAAATCTGCTATAACAATGTCGTATTAAAAGTAAACTTAATAACTTTATAAACGTCAAAGTATTGTTGAAACAAAAATATATCTACAAAATCTACATATTTGTTATAATTTTCATTTTTTTTTTTTAAGATTTTTTATTTTCAAAAAAAAAGAAGCTCATCTTTCTCTCCATACAGAAAGAAATACTTGAAGTTATCAAACGAATGCTAGAGATTTCTGAAATATACCAAAACTATAGCAGTTAAGGCGACGAGACATATTTAGGAAATATTGACATAAACCTAGACAAAATCCACTTAACATATATGTATCTAAAGTTGGAGAATCTATCAGTTTATAAAGAATTTTCAATACTTCTTCATAATGAATGCAAATAGATTCAAAGGGGCTCGCAAATAACTGATATCTAGACCACGTAATTCCAAGCTTTAGGAGAGCGGTTATGTGTTTTATATATCATAGGGTATAAACAGCACGTTTTCCTAATTTCTTTCTAAATCATTAGGTTACTTTGGTTGCATATAATATATAATTTAAGATTTAATAAGTATTTAAGAAAAGATCTTGTTTGAATAATATTCTCATTTAAAAGCATAAATCTCATTTCATTTTCAGAATTTGTTTCCCCATTACTGTATCCCACACATTAAACGATAACCTTTTAAAGATGATAACATAAAACATACATACAAACAGTGTGTTTACTTAAAAACACATACTGATTTCAAACAAAGTGCTGAATTTTCTAAATAGTGTCAACTTCTCTTTCTTTCATTGATAGGAGCAAATCCCACATTTCAGGTTGAATG